TTTCAACCTTGATCCCTCTACGTAGACGATAAAGCGAGATGGAATGAAGATATTACAATCCTGAGTACTCTGCTCCCTCGTTGCCCTATTGTTGAATGTCATGGTTGTGGTTGTTGTATACATATTTTGTTCTGTGATCCACCATAAGGTCCTTTCCTCCATTCACTTCAAAATCGTGCCTGCTTATGAAAGCGAATAAATAAACAGGAAAAAATATACAAAAAAATAAATAAAAATGAAATGCCACTGTTATCTAAGCCGGGATTAATGTGTCAGTCAGTAAACATGACATGAAACCAGTATCGGAGAGAGTATACCGCATATCCAACATTCTGATAATCAATACAAGCACGTCTAATAATTGAGGCTACTGCAAAACCTCATAGCCAATCAGTGCCTAAAGAGTGTTTAGTATATTACAACCATAATACAAATGAGACTTCATTTACGCTGGTTAATCTAAAGCAGTACGCACAATTCTTGATCATATGGAATTGTAGGAGTGAAGATTAGTTTCGTATCATTCAATGAGTATCTTGTATTTCATAAAATTTTGGGGTCTAGTGTGAATGATTTAAAAAGGAGGAACAGGAAACTCAACTGAAACACAAAATCAGGGGTGGTTAGCTGCTCACGTGGAACATATCTGAATAATCGTCGAAGCCGATCAACATATACCACTTTTTCCCACACCTGAGGATCAGTTCTGAATAATTTGATCAGCATTTAGACTAAAAGGAAGAAGGTTTAGGTTCTCAAGGAAGGATCACACATACCACATTATCGACAAACAGTTGCAGAGCGAAAATTGCAGCCTTCAGTCCAATAGTTGGGTGAAGGACATATATTGCCTGCACAGCAAATGGATAAATTGAATTTAACAAAGTAAGCACATACTGTGAAGTTTTTTTTTTTTTTTGATCAAAAACTGTAGAGTTAAGTTGATTTTCCAGTATTGCATACATGAAGATTACGCTGGTGTTTCCGACCAAGTATTTGCTGTAATCTCCTCATCCATCCCAGATCTGGTTGCCTGCTCCATTAACAGAATTCGAAAAGTAGGCAAAATAAAAACATATTAAGAATAGGGATTTCACGTACAATCTGCATGCCATCAGAAAACTGTGTGTGTGTTCTCTTTTTGGCATGTTTTTATGCCTGAACTCAGTAAGTGATTTAATTTCTGCCCAAGCTTTGGTGAGACTACTATCTTAATATCAAAAAAGAGTATAGTGGTACTATGGTAGCACTAGTTCTGCTACATGGAAAACTAAAAAAATAAAAAGAACCAGGCTGACAGGTCCTGGAAGTTATTCACCAATAATAACAATGATAATAATAGCTTCCCGAGCCAGAGCAGATTGCAAGGTCTTGTGCATGAAAATGTCATATCGAGGTGTCAAAGCCAAAACTTATTCAAGAAGTTCATGGACTGTAGGACAACTTTATTTAGTGCCAGTCAGCCAGAAAACCAGTCCATCAATCCTTTGCTTCTCTTTTCAATAAGATCAGCCACAAACTTCAGGCAATTAAGTTGTTTCTACTTCTTGCACACGTGATGCGAACTAAGACACAAATTACCTAATCATCAACATACCAAAGAAGCTATAAACTCAATATAAGCGATCCACGAGATGATGCGGAGGGGAACCAAAAGAATAAAGGGTGGAGTACTCACAGCTGTAAAGAAGCTGCAGAGTGGAAGTAAACAATAGTAAAAGGCTTTTGTATCAAGGGTTCAAACTCCTGAAATTCAAGACAATTGTCAGTCAGTGGTACATGAAGAATAGAACTATGGGAACCTCATACATGAAAATCAAGTATATCCATAAACATCAAAACTCACTGAACAACATACTCAGCAGTAAGCTGAAGCAAGCTGTAATTACCTTTATTACATAGAGCACAAATCGATCCAGATTGAGACATCTTAGCAGTAAATGTGCTCCCACAATGATCATTACTGGACGGCCCTCACTGTCAACCCCACCGCGGTAACTGAGATTGAAATTAGGAGCTAAATAAGATTTTGGGTGTGGAAAAGCAAATTGACCAAAGCAAACAAATACCCGAAAAAAAGGAAGCAATCTTATAAAACAGGCAACTATTCCCAGAGGTAAATTGTGATCAGGTGCTCGGGTTACAAATATTAACTTGTGAAATTTGCAGGTAAAGATGGAGAACTTCTACAAGAATACCTTGGTCTTCATCTGTTCATTGTTATAATGGCTCCAAATAAGGCAACATATCTGAGGCAGGACTAGCATGTACTTACTATCAAAGCCCAGATCTCAATTATTCAATGTTAACATATATCTCCTTCCTTTGCAAAATCTTATCTAAGAAAGGACAGAGCCAGTGAAAGAAAGTTACAATAGGAGCTTTTAATAGATAAATCCAACTTAATTCAGTTGTTTGTGCTTTAGTAATGGTTAATGGAGATGACCATTAGAAAGTATAAATCAAAATATGCAAAGGTATGATGTTACTGAGCTCTCTCATTAAAAACGGTATATTCACAGCGCAAAATCAAAAGCCTGCAGTAGCTCACAGAATCTTCATTTCTGCAATCTCAGAAAGATCAAGAGAATTCGCCTTAGCAAGATATCTAGAATGGAGCGAGTATTCCTCAGCAGCAGATAATTGAGGTCCTCCAAGGTCACCCAATCCAAGCATTTTAGCAGCAGCACAGTTCCAGCTACTTTGTGCTTGAGCAGTTTTTTCCCACTGTTCCTTGTTTCGGTCATCTGGATCCTTAATCGGTGACATGAAAACAGGATCCAAATATGAATCCAAATAGGATGAGCTTCTGTTTAGAGAACAATCTTTCAGTAATATCTTATAGAGTTACAAAACAACAAATAAACAAAGGCAAAATGTCTGCACTAACGCTATAAACAATTGGCATAGGAGTGAATATATGAAATTCCTAACATAACAACACAAAATGATGAGCTGTGTAACAATGCATTTATCAGTTAGTATTTGCAGCAGCAATGTTCTTGCCTCACCATGCAAGAGTAGATTTATTTTAACCTCCAAAGTGTTGATGCACAAATGCTACAAATACATCACATAGAGTTTCTGCTCTATTCTTAAGCAAGATAAGGATTATTGGCCTCACAAGTACATAATTGCTCAGGGATTTATTGCACCAGAGTTCCAGTGTGTCAGCAGCTACAATGCAATGCACAGGCAGAAACTCTGGCTTTTGGGTTAATGAATGATAATTTACCTCCCACGGTGGGTTGTGGTCAGATGGCAAAGCCTCATGGGTGAAAGATTACTAACCGTCTTGTTAAACCAACATCACTGACAGGTTGATCAAAAGAGGCTTGGGGCGATCTAGGACCATTCTTCTTCACATTTGGCAAAGCTTTTATTCTGATTTTACGTTCATCAATAACTGTTTCACCATTTTCATCCCCAACATCTGCAGGAAGGTTTGAAATGGCCACCTCCTCCTCATGTTTATCCCGAGGAAAATAAAGAGGAAGCAATCTACAATGTCAATTTGTAAAATAATAAGAGGATATGATATGCACAGAATCCAATCACAAAACAGGATTAGATCACTCTATGGCTATATGCCAAGGTGTTGTATCAGCTTATATGAAAGAACCTCTAAATTATATAACAGGACCACAGGCATACCTTTTATAAATCTCTATATCTGATGGTGTATTTGTGCAAAAAACAACAGCAAAAATTTTATCTTTTTGTTTGTCAAGAAACCGCCGCACTGTTCCTGATCAAAAACAAACAAAAGATGAATTTCAAAAAATGAAATAGGAAATAATTACCTCCCAAACATAACCACAAACATGAATTAGACATACAAAAACATTTACTGGTATATAGATAAAAATGTGTGTGCATAGATTATCTGATTCTACAACATCCGTACATATAGTTAACATAATGTGGTTGTCATTCAAAGCACCATATCATCACTTGAAAAGTGAACAAAATCAAATGACAGATTTGCAAAGACACATATGGAAGATCTCACTAATTGCAACATGAGCAGCTCGTTCACGTGGATAATTTTTGGCCTCTGTGTATATACAGCCCATAGCAATGCTGCATTGACACGTGTTGCAAGATATTAAGTTCCAGTTTTGAACAAATGAAACCCAATAAGATGAAGAGAGCTATAACAAACAAATGGATGCAGCAGCTGGATACCAAACCACCTTTGAAGCCCACTTTCAATGAGAATTTCAAGGCAAGAGCTATAGCAGTGGCTCAGAGCATTCTCTGCAGCAGTATGATATTTTGCTGCATACTTGGGACCAACAGTATGTATAACTCTCCTACACAAAGTTTAACAAATGCCATTTAATAGTAAGTGAAGAGTTAACAACTCAAATTAAGCAATAGAAGTATGTTGCACATAGGCATAGAACTTTGAAGAAAAATATATCACATCACCAACAAAAGCGATTTGAGAAGTAAAAGATCAAGGAGAACATGTCTTATGCCCAACTTAAATGACTCACATTTCCCTAATTATTGTATTACTACATATAGGGACATGGAAGCTATGCCACGTAAGTTTTTTTTTTATTTTTTTGATAGGAAACAAAACATATTGCATTAAAATAAAAGCAAAATTACATGAAAGGTAGTTGGATATCCAACCACAAAAGAGCAAAATTATAATGACAGGCAAAAACATAAAAAGTCTATAGACCACATGAATCTCTCCATCCCGATAAAATAGCAAAGAGTGGGATTCCTTTGCAATCCCTAGGAACCAAAGCCCAAAATGTTGAAAGAAAATGAATCCGATCCCATAATTCATTCAAACACTCACATCGATCTTCAAAGTTTCTTGCATTCCTCTCTTTCCATATAACCCAAAAAGTTGGCATGATTGCACAATTCAAAAGAGTGACACCCTTATAGACCCAAGTCTTCCACTAACAAAGAATTGGATGATGGGAAGGAATGCATTTCAAACCTTGTCTTGGAAAGGCTTTGTCTTCTTAAGGTCAAGGGTTCAAGTCCTTTTCCCCTTCCCCTTCTCCCTCCCAAAAAAATTAAAAAAAAAAAGAAGAAGCAACTTGTACTACAAAGACAAAGCAAGAGGGCAATGTTGAAATAAATGGTCAATGCTTTCATAATCACCTTTGCACATCACACATCACTAAGGAGAAAGAAAAGTATTAGACCTCCTTTTCTAAAGTAAACCATTAGTATTAATTTTCCTATGCGTGCAACAGCCCATGCAAAAGCTTGCACCTTAATAGAGACATAACACCAATGATTTTATAGGGACATGGTGTGCAACAGGGTGAAAATTTTAAGTTGTCAATTTTTTATTTTTTATTTTGTTTGGGAGTAAACGATTGCCAATGCACGATATATAATGGTATATGAATCCCACACCTCATTTAGAAAGACATGAAGCAAAATAGAGCATGCTGAATTCAGAAAAAAAAAAAACTATAAAAATTGTGATCCCGGACTTAAAGTAATGATAGCAATGTCAGGTTCTCTAAATTCCTAGTAACATATACACATACAAAAGGATCATGAGTGAGCATTTATTTCTTGATACTCGTGTGCATTGTCAAATGCTTCCATGAAAACAGAGAGATGCTTTGAAGGTTTAGAAAATCATGCTTCAATGAAAATATGATATCCTAGGCACAAGAGTAGGGGTATAGAAATAATTTTCAACTGCATTTATTCATTCCGAGCCTATACATAAGTATGAAATGAAATACAATGCTGACAATTATATAAAACAACCAGCATACCCACCTTGCAGGAAGGTCATATGCATTAGTAATTTTTGCCATACCAGTTCGACATCCACCCTGAGAAGAAACTAATTAATAATAATCTAACATTTCAATAGTGAATTATGTCCATTAAAGTGACTCCATCCATTTCTATTACAACATATTGGGTTAAGTTTGTTCTTTTCCACAATATTACGTTACGGCACATCTTAATGCAGATTTCAGATACAGTAATTGAATTACCAGAGTGGCACATTCTTCTGCAAGACCTGGTCCAGCTGCAGAGTGCAAACAAGGACTGCTGTGCCCTTCATCCATGTTCTGTCAAACACCCAATAGGAAATAATAATCAGAAGAAAGCAGGTCATCTTCTCAGTGATCCAAGATGGAAAAGATTATAACAGTTGTGATGGATAACAGATGCTTAATCAGCTGTTTGGATGGAATGAAAAGGAATTGACCCTAGAATGCGTGGTCCCAGGTGCACTTAAGTGAACATCTGTGATTCAGACTGGAACCTGCAGACATATGGATTTTATTCTGATGAAATTATGCGAATTGCATAGGAATGGGGCACTTAATATTAGACGAAACTTCCAGCCACAATGCTTGATTGGGTAGGAATGCACCACAGAGAAACATAATCTGTCCCTTCTGGGGTGAACTATCATCATAAGCATTCCTTAAGCGACAAATAGCTTAAGTAAACATCATTCAAAAAGAATTCGCAGCTCACCTCGTTTGTAGAGTTAACAACTGCATCCACCTCGAGATTCCAAGGATGCCCCCTCCATAGATATATCTTCATGTTGATTTCATGATCAACAAGAAACCTTGACACCATCCCATTTCCACTACTCTCCACCACAGAAGAAGACGTTAAATTCTGGGGCAAGTATGAATTTGGAAAGGCGGAGTCTTCATTCTCATTCGAGTAGCTATAATCCACATCACTCCACCGAAGAACTTGATCTAGTGTTACCACAGGATCTCCACTATCTGTTGATGGCCCTCCACGAGCAGAGGTCACATCCCCAGATGGATACATTCTTGCAATGCCACCAAACAAAAACCACTCAATCAATTCAAGCTCAGCTCAAGTTTCAGAAGTTTAGTCAAAAATTACAAATTCAGAGCGCATTTAAGGTCGTCTTCCTTAAACCGCATTAAGTAACAAAACACATATCAACTTGTAAAGATATACATGTAAACCCTAGCTCGAAGATTTCATAACGGTTCGGGAAAAACCATAGGCAGACCCCTTCAATTTTCAATATACACACACACACACACACACATAGGTAGACCCCTTCATTTTTCAATATACACACACACACACATCGAGAGGGAATTTACCGGCGAATCCACGTGAAATTCGGTGAACAATCGGAAATGATTTCGGGTAAGAGAGATGAAGACGACGACGATATTTTATTTGCTTTTTTTCTTTTTTCTTTTATTTATTGTTAATAACACTTTGAATCCTGAAATCTCTTTAAATTCTAATTTACACCCTGAAAGATTAAAATTAAACTTCCGTTGCTTTATCCCGTAAATGTAGTGCTATATTTTTATACTAGGAATAACTCTTTGCCTGAAAATACTATAAAAAAATTTAAATATTGAAGGTGTAATATTTATATTTTAAATAATTATTTTTTAAAAAAATTATACAATTTAAAATTAAAATAAACAGAGGAAAAATAAGAGAAATAAAAGAGAAAGGTAGATGTAGATTGATGTGGTAGTCTGAGTTTATAATTTTTAGTGGAAAAAAATTTGGAATAAATTTTACACTATTTGATCAAAGTAGATAAAATTGGATTAATCTTGGTTATTCGTATGCTTTTATAAATGAAGAATTCAATTTCTTACCTATAATATTATATATATATTTTTATTTCTATTCATATTTGTTTGTATATTTCTTATATTACTCTAGTGAAATTTTTTGCAGACTAGACAACATCGTTTTTGGAATGATTGAAGCTAGATTTATAGATGATTTCTTCCCAACTTAATTAAATTTTTTTTTTTTTAATGATCAACATTTAGGGTATCCGGACCAGTTTACGCGTATTTCGGCTATTCCCTTATCCAGTCCGGTTAAAGTTAAACTATCTATGCCGGAACTAAAATATTCATATGAGATAAATTTCTCATAACCTAAATCCAAGAGATTGTCAAGTTTTAAACTCAGAATGTCTGAATTTATAACTCATACTTGTAACCATTTGACTGGGGATAAATAGTCAAAAGCTGGGATTCTTTGTTTCCCTTAATTATATAACTCAGATGAGCAACACTTGAGCAACAAAGGGAATTCAATATGCAGATTCATCTGCCCAGCAAAGAGAGGTAAAGCTAATTCTCTCCACCTCTGCCTATATTCTGTCGACAGAAAGGAAATGCAGGTTGTTCAAGAAATCGAACAAAGATGTGGGAAGTGTATATAAGGCGATTGTTGATAATATCAAATTTGAAGTCGATCTAAATAGGGGTTATGAGCGATCTCTTCCAAACCTATGGTCGCAAAGACAATGGGTATTGTCAGAGACCATTTTTGAACCTCCTTGGGCATGTGTTATGCCAGACACAAGGTACCGTGGTTGCTGTAATTGTAATGATCTAATCTAGTGTTGCTGGTTGCTATTAGTCCTCTGTTATTGCTGTTAATATCCTGCTAATGCTGATGGTGTCGCTGTGATAATGGAATATGCTTGTTCAAACTACTGTTCAAGCTATGAAGACCAAATATGCTACTACTCTGTATACATTTATTAATATTGATCCTTTCGGACTTTGTAATCATATAGTTTACTGTTTTGCTATTGGGATGAGGGATCTCCTATTCTCCTGTTCAGAAGATCAATCATTCCTTTGAAAAATGTTTTGCACATGAATCCCTTGTCGGTTAAATAGAATTCATCTTACTTGCTGGAAAAAAAAAAGAGATAGAGGACAAAACTGAAAAAGAAAGGCACTAGCTCCACACTGCATGCAGCAAAAAGCCATTCTCTGGGTAATAGTAAAATGACTTCATCAATCTTCAAGCACCTAAACATTTAAACAATTGCCTCTTCACATATTAAAAACTCCAATAACTCGTCACTATGAAGGTATAAACTAATATAGCAAGAATTAAACAAGAAGTAAACCGGCTATGTTGTACATAAACATCTTATTTTTTACCATACGCAACAAAAGGTAAACGCACATAGTTTACTCTCCAAATGATGCAGCCATTACTGCATGCTTCATGGCTTGATCTGCCATGTTGAGGAATTGTTAATTGGCTTTTTTATAATTTCAGTACCTGCTCTGCCTCCATATGTAACTTAGCTAAGAAGTTGCTTCACCTTGGCTACTATTCTGAAAATAAGCATCAGCATAAGCTGAAACTGCTGCACTCATTTTACTCCAGCCTTCTGCTTCAACATTGCAATGAATTTCTCTCTCTCATCCAGAGACATCCCTTCTGCTGAACAATCTCCAATACCCCATTCCGCTCCACGTAGGCAATACTTGTCTAGAATTTCTTGCCGGTTCCTGAAAATTATCATAAAATTGTAAGTTTATAATCCAATGATTGCATTACTTATGACTTATGAGTTTGACAATTGCCCTTGATTAGTTTTCATCTGTAGAAATCGCTGCATCTAACCTTATTATCAATACTATATAATAGCTCCTTTCCAAATTCCACTGTATGTGACCAAACAATCTTTCATTTGACAACACAATGAGTTCTTTATGAACAGTTGCGGTGTATCAACACATAGCAGTTAATTAGCAAGCTACAATGACAATCATTAATCAGAAAATCTTAAATTCCAACCTGCTACTGCAATGGACATGTAAATTAAATGATTGACTGTTTGATGTAGATATGCAAGAGCATAAGAGTTGACTACCAGATATAATTGAATTCCAACGAGGAAGCAGAGGATTTATGTGAGTTTATGCACAAACTCAAGCCAGTAGTGAGACTGTGAGAGAGAGGAGTTTCAGTGCATTAGAATTATGAAGAGATTAAATATCACTCAATCATGATTCATGGCTGTTAATGAGCTGAATTATATTTTTACCCTTTAAATATGTTTTTTTCGGTTATATTTAGCAAGTTGGATCAAAACTATTACTCCAAAGGAAGAGTTGCAAACACCCAAATTACCTACAGATTAATTAAGGTGATGAACTTAACTGCTTTAGGTGGACTTGGCATTAGCTAACTTCCCCATATGTTTACATGATCAAGGGAAAAGGTGAAAAGCTCAATCCATATGCAGCCCCATTAACTATTCATATTAGTACAACAGACCTATGTTTAGGTAAGGGAAACTTACTTCTCTTTATTCAACTTGGATTGCTCGAGCAATCGCTTAAGCAGGGGAGACTCCTTAAATCTGGAATCAAGTTCTGCATATTTTTTCTGGTTTTCTTCTGCAAAAGTCATGTTTTGCCTATATCATTTTCCATTAAAAATATTCATGCCCAACACTTGCAAAATAGTTGAAGTCCATACCATTAAAACGTGAGAGGAAGTCAATTTGAGGTAGCTGAGGACCAGGTACCGATTCAATTCCAGGGGAACCCGAGAGAAATCCAGCTTTAGCTACAAATATCAGAAGATTAAATGTTCACTTCTACGCATGGATTTTAGCTTGTTCTCACTCGGGCATAAAACTTCAACATTCTTACAGTCTTCTTGGTGACCAAATGCAAGATGAAGAAATATCAGCATTATTGTTCAACTAAATAGTCACCAAAAGCATGTATTATTTAGACACTTAATACACCTAGAAATGCCTTACAGGGAAAAGGGTTGCTGGCAACTTGTGATTTAAACATCATTTATATCCTAATTGAACCTCTTAACATTGAATTGTAGGAGCCCAAAGACATATTTTTTGTGTATCCAAATTACCATACCATAGATAGGTAACATTATTGCTAGTCGCTACAGGTACTTCGACTGCCTCCACAGGATACTTGGTGATGCCATGAATGTGAAACTCCACTTTTATTTGAAGACAACCTGTTTTTGCCCTCCATTATCTATATAGGAGAATAAAAGCACAGAAAAACCCCCATTTCTTTTCTTTCCCAACCTTTTCTCAGAAACCAAACAGGTGGTCTTCTAAAAGGGATTCTTTTATGTATCAAAATAAATTCTCTCTTTCCCCTCCCCAATGTGTCTGTGAGTGACTTTCTTCCAATTTACCTGTTTGTGTGAATATGAAAAAGCTGTACTTATTCATAGATGAGAAATATGGCTAGAACATGTTTGATGTATGCTGATAATTAGAAGATGAAGCAATCAAAAGCACATTCCAAGAGAATGTAACAGAAAGTTAAAGAAAAGAAAGAAATTACCAGGACCGGAGCAGAGAAGAACAGCAATAGAAGCAGCCAAGGGAACAACACACTTGTGAAGAAGAACTTGTTTCGATGGTGGTGAATAAGAATACAAATGAACAGTTTTAGCTGAACCAACACCTTGTGGTTTTCTTCTGAACCCAATTACTTGGAAGTCGTTTTGAGGCTGAGGATGACTATGTCTCAATTTGTCGCACACTGTAACATTGGTCATGAAGCAAGAGTAAGAGAAAGGGCTAAACGAGCAAGAGACCATGGTTGTGGGTCTCTCTCTCTCTCTCTCTGCACAGGGATGAGTGACTTACCCACAAAAAAAGCAGAGATATGAGTTACGATGATGGAGAGAGATGATAGGGAAGGAGAACAAATGGCTAATATGGACTAACAGTTTTTATAGTCGTGGCAAGCATTCACTGGTTGACTGTCTTACTACTAAATATCGCATAAATGCCCCCCTTGAATTAGGATTTTGTTTTAAATTGTTCCTAAAATTTTAATTGTTCTAATTTTCCCTTTGAATTGTGTAATTTAATTTAATCAATTTTTTTTTGGTTCAACGGTTAAGGTGTCTGAGCCAACTTACACAAACTTCGACTAGTTTCTTTCTCGTTCCGATCATCCATGTCAAAACTAAGTTATTTATGAAATAATTTTTTTATGATCTGATTCAAAAGAATTGTCAATATTCGAATTCATGACATTTGTGTTTATAGCTTATTTTGTTATCACTTAAATTACCTTTTCAGGTTTTTTCATTAACTCCTTCTGTTAATCGTTAAATGAGACATATTGTGTTAAAATTAATTAATAACTTATAACACAATTCAAGGGACAAATTAAAATAATTGAAGGTTCAAAAGAGAATTTAAAACAAATGTTATAGTCTCAGAGGTATTTATGAGACTCACGCTGCAACGAAGTACTAAATTTCTTCTTCTTATTATTATTATTATTTTTGTTTTTGTATTACTAAATTAGACTTATTTATTATATTTATTTGATTGAAATTTCATTTTACAGAACATTTTCCCAATTACAAGTTGTAATCAAATTCATGGGTCATGTGGGGTGTCAATGAGACCCGCAAGATCTCATTAAAGTGATCCAATGAATTTACAATAGATTGAACTTTACCATACAACGAAAATTAAAATTGAGAGCACTGAAATTAACTTTAGCTCACACTAGCCAACCTCAAACAAGCTTTTAATTAGACCTCACAATTCTGAACATGATCTGTAAACTTGAAACAAAATGGGCATATCGGGTGTTAGGTGAATGAACCCATTCAATTTGTTAAATAAATGAATCAACAAGAACCCGATTAAACAAAACACAAATCTAAACTAATACACTATGAAATTCACTATATATACGATTATAAATAGATTAAATATAGATTTAAAATTTTCAACACATGACTTTGTCACGACATAAATCATTTTCGTTCTTATTTTTAACCCAGTCAAACCCAGGACAAATTCGAACAACTTGATTTATATAGCCAGTAATTTCTTATTTTCCCCCCTTTTGGTGCAACGACTCAATTCTGTTCCCAAGCTTTTACGCCACCACCGGAAGCCAATTCAAAATATGAGGTGGTTTCAGATTTCGCAAAAGATTTTGTAGCAACAAAGTTACTAAGGATTTCTCTCCAGTATTTGCTAAGATGCTCCGGTCTTTGGTTGACAATATTATGCGGGAAAGACTCCAATTTTCTCAAAGGATACAGATGTAACTGGTACTATGTTTCTGTCTTTGACCCAAACTATAAAGAATAGCATTGGCAAGACATGTAGCTGCAAAGGAAGAAATGTGGGAGAAACCATTGTCCATCGGATGATAATCAGATATAGCAACAGATCATATAGATAGGGAAAAGGATCAATCTTCAGTAAACCTATCATGGCAACTGAAAAAACAAACCAAAGTGATGCTACCATGCATACATGGCAGATAACTAACAACTTTTTTACCTGTGTCAAGGTGGGTAACCAATTAAAGGTTCTACATAGGCTGCTATGAGATAAATTCTGCGTATAAAGAAACACAAATTTTAAGTCTCGACCATGCACGATTGGAATAAAAGAGAATACTACTCCTTTCATTGGTCAAATAGACTTGTCGAAAATCAGACAAATTGCACATTGAAAAGAAAAAGAAGACCAGTAGGATTCCATGACCAGAGTTTTTCCTCTATAAATTCAGTAGCCCTTCCATCAAGTTCATCCTTCAAGCATGGCCTGTGCAGCATCGACTAATATTGGTCTAAGATCAGCAGAAGCTCGACCAAGCACAGTGTACCCTTCCTTGTCTTCTGCATCCACATTTGCTCCATGTCTTATGAGGAGGAGAGCAACCTGCCAACAAAAGTAAAAAATAAACGAGTTGAAGTGCATTGCCTTCTTACAACTCTTTTAAGTCATTGTTGCAGACAAAAATAACTTTCACAGTTGCTATATTAAAGAGCAAAGTGCACAAAGCAAAATCACTAAGTAAATTGAGTCATGCCTCCTCCGAGTCATGGGTTGGGGTCTTGAGTCATATAAAGAAACAATAACTTCTTAGACACATTGACCTCACCCTCCAAAATTTTGAGAGCTCTTGCTGGCACACATGTCCTAAATGGCTCTGATGTATTGCAATGCTGCGCTGCTGTAGAAGTACATTAACTAATTACACACGTGCAGTGTATCTCGATTCCCAAACTTAATGAATTACAATAGTACAGAATACAGATGCATGGAAATTCCTCAGATTGGTCAAGGTATTTATATAGTCTTTTCGGTATTTGTATACTCAAGTTACAAGGCTGAACCATCTTCAAGAGAGAAGAAATTTTCAATGCCTGAAAAAAGGCTTACCGTGTTTACCCTTAATGGAGCTTGGGTAGAAAGTGCTTACAAATACAAGACTGGAAAAAAAAAAAAAAACCTACAAAAAGGTGTTAATAACATGTTCAAGAATATAGCGCATATCCAACACTAGTCAATAATAAGAAATTTTCAAGCAAAAAACATGGAACTTCCATATCCCATCCAGAATCCTTCGTCTAAATGCACCCTCAAAATGGAAGCAAGGTAAGTACTAAACAAAGGTAATGAAGGTAGAGGTAGTACAATACAACTTAACTCAACTCCAGAAAACATAACAGTTGAAAAAAGAAACTCAAGGAATTATAGACCAACTACAGAAGTATAAAAAATACATGCAAAAGACAAAGTAGGATGAGTTTAGTATACCTTGATGGAAGCATAAATACACATAAACATATCCTGCACAAGGCTTAAAGGCATCGACCTTTGAAAATCCGGCAACATTTACCTCTTTATTATCGCATATCACTGCACTCATAAGAGGAGTTTGACCTGCTTTATCAACATCATCAACCTCTGCTCCTTCCTCAATTAAGAGTTCACACACCTCTGAGTACCCTGTGCTTGCTGCACGATGCAATGGGGTGCATCCAACCTGAATGAAGTGAACATCAAACAATCAACAAATGGAAGAGAAGATTCATGAATGTTAGCAGTGTGTTATTGCAGAGAGCATGCTTATAATACACAAAAAAAACCAAAATATACATATATAATAAGCTCTGTATAAGTAGAAAAGCTCAGGCGTAAGGTTACAAACCTTGTCCTTCAAATTGACTTTTGCACCATGTGAAAGCAAAATTTCAGCTATTTTCAGCCAACCCTTGCTAGCAGCATAGTGAAGAGCAGTACGACCACCATCATTCTTCAAATTAACATCAGCTCCTGTTCATAAGATATCAATTTGAGTCTATGTGTAAAATTTATTCTAGATGATAGGTGCAGTAATTTGTCAACACAACCAATAGGTGAAGTCCGAAAAATGCTACGACAAATAACTGCACCATCAATTAACTGCATGGACACCATCACATACATTATTCTAATCCTAAAATCCAAATTCGCAAGACTAATTACCAAGATTGTGTCGATCACAAATTGCTAAGCCACAAATTGCCTTGACAAATTTCATCAAAGGATACAAAATAAACCAGATTGATTCCAGACAAATACTCAAATGGAGGTCAACTTGACAACTATGAATGGATCAATAGTTGTATAAAGCTCCATTTTGTGCGACAAGGAAATTTTTTGGTATACATTGCCACAGTCGAGCAAACATAGGTAATGCTTTCATGTTATCGAATAGAAAACTTTAATGTATTTTCCTCAAATCGAACATGAATTAAAGAATTACTCACCTCTTCCAACCAAAATCTCCACAATTTCCAGATTCCCACTGCTAGACGCAGAGTGTAGCGGTGACCAGCCTTCCTCATCAGTACTGTTTACACCGCTAACCGATGGATCAGCAGCTGATAGTATCTCCACCACCTAAGTTATTCATGAACTCAAACCACTAAATACAAAAATTCCTACTATCACAAAAAGCGCAGTGATAAATCAAACTAAAGCATCACATTTTTCAAAATAATGATGAAAATGAACATATATGATGGGACTTTTCTGAAATATCCTATGATGAGGACACGTGTCCTCGGTTTACTAAAACACTGTTTGCTAAGATCAAGCACCATCGGCGCACAAAGTTCCTCGCCCCCGAGGTACCGTCATACAGGATCATGCATTCAGTATGTTTACAACCGACACGTGGCCTCGGTCTGATATGGTACCTCGGTCGGCATACCTCCCTCGGTACCGAGATGAGCCTTTCCTCGGTGCCGAGAGGTACCCCGTCCTGGACGCTTCCTCTACTCCAGGATAAGCTATTGACGTACAGGTCATTAGCCTAGGCTAGTCTAGGCTATTCATCATGACCTCGTCTTACACAATTAGTGTCAGAATGTACTGGAATGCAGAGCTCATAGTCAATAAGGGATGGACGCGTGGCATATGATATCACATCAAAGACAGAGAAACCGCATGTCATTGCTGACACGCGACTTGGGAAAGCAAACTATTAATTACACCATTCCCTTGATGAGACCGCATTCAATGCGGTAAGGCTCGGAAATGAAAGACAATAAATACTCCTAATACAGAGCATTTATTGCATCCTCCCCGAGAGGAGTACAATGTACCGTCGGCATCCCGATGACCCAGCATTGATTGCTCGGGACCCCGAGCAGTTAAGAAGAGAAGACATTCCTCATCAGAATCAGTGCGCACACTGCCTGTACCTAATGATCACCTACTGACTACACTGACAGCAATCATGAGCTTTTGAGGTATAAATACTCCTTGCAAAAGACAAGACGGGTATGCAACAACAAACTCTTTACGACAATACTCACTCAGTGTTTTCTCCTTCCTCTCTCTCTCTCAAAGACTGACTAGATCGTCGGAGGGGATACGCCAGAAAACACTCCGGCGCCCTTCTAACTTGTTCTTCTTTGTTCCAGGAACCTGATCGTTCTTCCGTTCCCAGGATATCCCGTTGCCGTTCCAGGTTGCCACCGGACCTCGCAGGCTGTTCCAAGCAGCGTGGTTGGTCACTCAACGGACTCACTCGAAGTTCACCAAGGGAGAGATCTGTTCTCGTTTTTTATATTGTACAGGATCTTGCACGCACAATATATGTCCCCTGAATTAAATCAAACATCATACAGATGCCCCACATACCAACCAAGAAAAGCCTAACGCTCCATTATCAAACCACCTGACCTCCTATTCTGATAAATCTATGTAACAAATTTCAGATTCATTAAATTTCTCGGAAAGCGAAATAAAGGAGAAAAGGAACTTCGGAAAAAATGACGGACCTGGGCTTGGCCAAAGGAGACGGCGACGTGAAGGAGGGATCGGTCGTCTTCGTTTCGTAGAGAGAGGACTTTGAGGAGATGATCTTGAGAGAGAGATTTGAAGAGCGAAGCCTCGCCTGATTCGGCGGCTCTGAACAAGTCTTCGTCTTTGATTTGGAGTTCGGCCGTCGGTGGATCGATCTCCATCTCCATTTGCGAACTGTATGGACGCTTTCTGGGTTTAGTGGGGTTTTGTCAGTGCTGGTCAGGGTTGTTCGAATCTTTCGCAGTAATTTTCTATCTTATTTGGATTATTACGTAAAAATTGGGTGAAAATGCAAAAAAATTGTTGGTCTTTCTATTAAATTTAGTAAGATTCCAGAATATTCGTCAATTTTTATATTCCTATCTTACATTACCCATAAAAAATAATTTTAATTTTTTTATATCTTTTTAGTAATTATAAAAATATTTGTGTGATATAATTTATATTATAACATTATTATTGTCGTGGATGTTTGCGTTACGAAAAGATGGACTTGTTTTTTTGTATAAGTTACATGATTTGTAGTAAATTGATAATCTATTGGAGCAGTTATAATTTTAATGTGTTACATATGATTTAAACTTAAGATAATTGTTATTGTATTTGTGTAACAATTATGATGGATTGATGTTCATACTTTCTTATATTTTTTTATAGTTGTTTTAGATTTTAGTGTTATTGATTTATTATGTTGTTAAAGTGATGTATATCATTTAATTAAATTATTAAAATGATCTAAAAATTAATAGGTATAAAAATATTTATTTGCCGATTAATCGGGTAGAAAATTAGGTAAAAATATCACACCTGATCAAATAGAATAAGCGAACAAAAACACATTCACAAAATAAAAGGTCAAAAGGCGAAAGACCATCCTTGTTACCTGATTGGGTGAACACTCCTAACGCTGGTTGTGTTTAACGGGAGAGGAGAGGGGCACAATCGTCGCTTGAACTCAAAGCAAGGGTATAATGGTAAAATTGAGATAAACAAGGAGAGCAGCACAATATTTGCTTAGACCATTATACCCTTTGCTTGAACAATGAATGGTAATGCAAATGGAGGAAAACAACTACATAGCGTGGCTCGTGGCCCATGGGTACGTAAATATGTCTGGTGGCCCATGGGCCTTCTATAGCCCAATGAATATGACCATCGCCATGGTTTTTGGCACTAATCTGATGAACATTTTTTTGACACCCTAAAAAATGAATAATATTTATAAAAAAAAAAGTAGTTTATAATTTAAATTTTAAAAAATAAATAAATAACGTTTGTGATTCACGATTGAGATTATTTTAAATTTTACTTTAAAGTTAATCTAACGGCTAATATTAAAACTCTAAATTTAATAGGAAAAAATAGGTTTCTAAGGATATATTTTGAATAATTTTTTAAAAGTATTTTTAGGAATTATTTCTCATAAATACTTAAAAAAAAAAAATATTTTGAACTGCTTCACCACCATCACCACCGTCGCCACCACCACCACCACTATCGCCACCACCATCGCCGCCACCCTCCACCACCACCATTGCCGTCGTCGCCGCCACCACCACAATCATCATCACCGTCACTACCACCACCACCACCATCACACACTATTACTGTTTTCTACCATCGCCATTATCGCCCACTATCTCTCACCTCCACTACAAATCGATATTTAAATTCTTTTATTTCTTCTCTATATTTGCTATTTAATTTTGGATATAAAAATAAATATATTTATTATTTATAATTTTTTATTACTCTGTGTCTTCAGACACAGACAATAACTAATATTCTTATAAACAACAAAATTAATAATATTCTTATAAACAACAAAATTAATTGAGTATTCATATTAACTCATTCTACAAACTACTCTTCTACTAATTAGGATTGAAATCGTCTTTCCCATTTAATAGTAGGATTTAACAAATTTATTTATTATTCTATAATCAATTGGTAATATAACGTAATATGGATGACGTAGTCACAGTGTTACACCTATATATAGTTACTCCTTGTAGTAGCTGACCAGAAAAAAAGACTTCCCCGCCGCTTCCTCCATATCGTCGGCGGGCGAAAACCAGAGGTTTCCGAATGCTAATCCCCAGTGATTATTCACCTTATTATGTCCGTCAGAAACATGAGACAGAAACCATTGCAACTTCAACGAATTTTGAAATTCATTGCTTGTCGTGCTTTATCTCAGTCCCACCTGGAGAGAACTATAGCAACTTCGTCTTCTTATTCTTCTTCTCCTCTAGCTCAATTGAATCCAACACCTCATCATCAAAAATCTTTCTTTGAATCAGAATACAAGAACGGGCTTGTAAACCGGTTGTGTAAAGACAAAAAATTCAAAGAAGCCATAGACATTCTATGCCAACAGAAGCGTTTGGAAGAAGCAGTTAGAATACTAGATCATGTCGATCGTCCCTCTGTTTCTATATATTCAGCTCTTTTACAACTATGTCTTCAACAACGAGCTCTAGGAGAGGGGAAAAAGGTTCATGCTCATATCCAAGCCTCCGGTTTTGTACCCGGGATTTTTATTTCCAATCGCCTTATTGACTTGTATTGTAAATGCGAGAGCCTTGTTGATTCCCAGAAAGTGTTTGATGCAATGGGTGTTAAGGACTTGTGTTCTTGGAATATTTTGATATCTGGGTATGCGAAAATGGGACAACTTGATGAAGCTCGGAAATTGTTCGACGCAATGCCCGAAAGAGATAATTTTTCTTGGACTGCAATGGTCTCGGGTTACGTTAGGCATAATCATCCTAATGAAGCGTTAGACTTGTATAGAGTGATGCAGAGGAGTGAGAGTTATAAGGGCAATAAGTTCACAACTTCTAGTGCTCTTGCTGCTTCTGCTGCCATTCAGTGTTTACCTCTCGGAAAGGAGATTCATGGTCATATAACGCGAACTGGATTGGATTCGGATGCAGTGGTTTGGAGTGCATTATCGGATATGTATGGAAGATGCAGGAGTATAGATGACGCTAGGTGCATATTTGATAGAACATCCGATAGGGATGTTGTTTCATGGACGACATTGATTGGTAGGTACTTCGAATGTGGGAGGTGGGAAGAGGGATTTTTGTTGTTTTCAGACTTGCTGAAGTCAGTAATTAGACCCAATGAGTTTACATTGGCTGGTGTTTTAAATGCATGCGCATATCAAACTGCAGAGGAAATGGGTAAGCAGGTTCATGGGTACATGATGCGAACTGGGTTTGATCCATTTTCATTTGCGGCTAGTGCCCTTGTTCATATGTACTCCAAGTGTGGTAACATTGAGACTGCACATAGGGTTTTCAAATGGATGCCCCAACCAGATTTAGTTTCATGGACTTCCTTGATCAATGGATATGCTCAGAATGGTCAACCCCATGAGGCTCTTAAGTTATTTGAGATGCTGCTAGAATCTGGTACTCAGCCTGACCACATTACTTTTGTTGGTGTTCTTTCTGCTTGCACTCATGCTGGTTTAGTGGATAAAGGGCTCGAATATTTTTACTCAATAAAGGAGAAATTTGGATTATCGCATACTGCAGATCACTATGCATGTGTGATTGATCTATTGAGTCGATCTGGCAGATTCAAAGAAGCTGAAGATATAATCAATAAAATGTCCATGAAGCCTGATAAGTTTCTATGGGCTTCTTTACTTGGGGGTTGCAGAATTTATGGAAACATTGACCTGGCAAAACGAGCAGCCGAAGCATTGTTTGAAATGGAGCCTGAGAATGCAGCTACTTATGTTACACTTGCCAACATCTATGCCAATGCTGGAAGGTGGGGTGAAGTATCAAAAATTAGAAAGATCATGGATGATAGAGGAGTGGTAAAGAAAGCGGGTTTGAGTTGGATTGAGATTAAGAGAAAAGTCCATGTGTTCTTGGTTGGAGATTCATCCCACCCCCAATTCAAGGAAATACACGACTTTTGGGGGGAGCTTTTTAAGAGGATGAGGGAAGAAGGATATGTCCCAGACACAGACCATGTGCTGCATGATGTTGAAGAGGAGCAAAAGGAGCAAAATCTTTCCTATCACAGTGAAAAGCTTGCAGTTGCATTTGGAATCATTGCTACTCCGCCTGGTACTCCATTAAAGGTTTTCAAGAATTTAAGAACTTGTGTTGATTGTCATACTGCAATTAAATTTATCTCAAAAATTGCTGAAAGAAAAATAATAGTAAGGGACTCAAGTCGATTTCATTGTTTCGAGGGTGGGATCTGTTCGTGTAAAGACTATTGGTGATTCTGACCACAATCAAGAAGTCCAGCATAATTGCAGAAAGAGAAAATGAGAAATTTATTTGGTAAGATGGGAGTTTTCCAACAACTTTGTATCTTCAGAGTGGAGCAGGTTGGAAGCTTGTCCAGCTCTTCAACATCAGTTGGAAATTCCTTGCTTGAATAGTGGACTAGGTTGATGAAGAAAGGTGTGCCATCAAACCCCCAGTGTCTAAGTTAACGGTATTTTATTGAACATCCTTAAGATGAAACAGGAGGCTACATATATGAAGCTGCAAAGCTGTAATGAAAGAATGGGATGTTGGTAACATTCGAAATGTCTGTCTTTGGGGAGGACAATTTATGTTGGTTGGTTATGCTGAGTAATATATTTACTGACTGTCTGTATCATATGATTTAGTTTGTGGCTTACATCATTTGTTATTCTAGAGCTTGAGAAGACAATAAGCAGAACCTCCTCACAGATCTCAGGGATGAGAAGACAATTGCTAGTTTGATGAGCATAGATGTGATCATGCAGTTAATCTCTAAGGCTGCCATACCACCAATTTGCCTGTGTAACCTGGAAACTGTTGATGACATTGACAACCTGGACTCTGATCCTGACCTTGACGTCTGACCGCAATAAAGGTCCTATGTGAATCTGATTGCAGTTGTGTCAAGGGTTGAATTGAAGAAGATTTTCGGGCTTATGGCTCCTTTTATTGCCTTCTGTAGGGAGGAGATTTGAGTTTACTACTTTCTCAGAGGATGGAAGCGGGAGTTACGACTTATTGAAATTTGAAAGGTCAGTTCCTGACCCATGACATACTCTCTGTCCAAGTCACATAGTCCTCAAACTTACATGTGGCCAAAAAGTGAGTTTTTAGTATTGCTTAAAGCATTTGGAGGCGGTCTGTTAGATTTTTGCAAACTCGCGTGCAGATACATGTGGTAAGTACCAATATGAAAAAACCTGTATAATCGGAATTTTTGATTCATTAATGCCACGGATAATGATGGCAGTAGCAACTGTCATATTATACTTGAAGTTGAAGAACACAACAAGCATCAGCAGGCATAAACATGGAAACGAAATGTGGAGGAGCCATAGAAGTAACAAAAAAAAGGAAAAAGTTCAGATTGAGCACAGCCCTCCCTTGCCAGTTTGGTTGGCCTCTCTATAGGCATGTGTCCTGCGCGTCCCCAGGGAGCTACCTGCAGTCATCAATGAGAACAGGAAATTTACATTAGTATCTGTTTTCCAAAAACTTTTAAACCCCCAATTGTCTGTCTTTGCTGCCTGAATTTCTTTGCAATTGAAAAAAACTTCTCTACAAATCGAAAATTTTCCCAATGGTTCCTGTGAATGTTAAGAACCTGGTAATGTCCTAAGGAATGGCTTCCTGTTTTGAACAAGGTGCCCCAAAGGGGTGACCTGAGAACACAAGTGCATGAATGGTCACCTTGAATCAGTCAAACCACCTGTGTTCACAGTGTCACTCCTCTGGGGTTTGCCCTAGCTGCATGAACATAGAACCTTAGATGGAGATGGAAGATTTTAAAATTGCATTGCCATTTATAATGGTAGAAGCAAACCTATTGTCACTATGTGGTCATGGCAGGGTATAATGTTGTCATCTTTTTGCATACCTAAATCGAAATAATTGACTTGTGTAACTATCCCAGTGAAGCAGCTGCATAAAGATGTGGTCATGGCTAATGCCTCACTTTCACAACCCAACGACCCTTGATGCGGAGGTGTGTCCATGGGCGGGGCCGGGGTAGGCCCGTAATTTTTTTTGGGTCAGACTTGGGTAATGTAGGCTCAATCCCTTATCCAAGTAAGTTATCGGATGGGTAGGACTTCGGGTAAAGGTAAGTTACCCGCAGCCCAACCCAAGAGCCTATTGGGCGGACCTATTCGTTGGTTTTTTTTATATACAATTTCATTCAAAAATAATGAATCTTTTTTGTAACTTAATATTTGTGTAAATTATATTTTTGAATAAAAAATAAAGTCAAAATGGATAAAAATAAAATAATGAATAATTTTATTTTTGATTAGAGAATGAATTATATCTCAATTAAGTTGACACCTATTTACTTATCTATCATTTGCATTATTCTATCTTTTAAAATTTGTATGTTTAATACATGAAAAAAAAAATAATACATTATTTATAGTATCTAAATTTTTAAAATTTTAAATTCCGACATTGGGAAACTTATTTCAATATTTTAAGTTTAATGATTTAAAAGTATAATTTTTTTTCAAAAGAATGGTGGGCAGGTGCTTGAGCCGAGTTTTAATGGGTTTTTTTTGGTGGGTTATTGGGCCAGACTTCATTTCAGGTAATGGGTTTGAGGGTAAACTCAAACTCTCTTTTAAGGATATTGAGTAAACCCAAACTCTCTTTTAAGGATATTGAGTTTGGGCTCAAGTAAGCCAACTATCGAATTTATCAGGTTTCAGACCTATTATTTTGGGCCAACAAATAGAATCTGTGGGTAATTTGGCGCATGAACACCCCTAGATGTGGTTGTTTGTGGGTACGACCACAAGCAGGAGCGAAGCCAACAGTTATTCACATTCACAACCCAACAACCCTTGACGTGGTTGTTTGTAGGGGCGGAACTCGCATTTATTCGTGAGCTTGTTTGGTAGACATATTATGAGTTTGATTAAATATTATATGGTATTATTATTAATTTAATCGGGGTTAATACTTTGTTTAGTAGATAAATTTAATTCTGTATTAATTTTAAAAATGTGTATTAATTATTTATTTATCGTATATTTTTTGTATGATAGACCTATATTATTGAGATACCAGTTATAACTCCTACCTGAAGGCACGATGAAATATAAAATTCGAGTGCTTGAAAATCGATCTCACTATATTTAAATTTTTTAACATATGTATATTATTATATATGAATAATGTTTGGAATAAAAATTATGTTAAATTACAAATTAATCAAATATTAAATGATTGAACATGTGATATGAGTGATGTGATGTTTATAGGAGGGAATATATGTAGGGGATAAATATTCAAATTGCTATGTGTTTTATTATATAAATTTTAATATCACCGGGAGAGAATAATATTATAATTCAACTCACATATATTGTTGTACACATTTACTATTATAATCCTATAATTGATAAGAAAAGTTGTCATTAACATAACAAACACTTTGACGCACGCTAAAATTGATTGAAGATATTTTTGTTAATTCAATATTAAATGATGAAATAATTCCCTAATCAAACAACAAATTGGACTAAATAATTACTATCTAAATACTTATGTTGTGTATGTCACATACAAGATAAAATTATTTATTATTTTAATATTTTATTTAATCTTATTTTTTGTTCATTTGTATTATATTAGACTGAATTCATTTATCCAATTCACTCATTTTTAATACAGCAACCAAACGGAGTTAATACTCGTTCTATTCAACACAATAAGATCGATCTTAACACATGCAAATAACTCATTCTATCTAACCACACCCTAAACTCTTGATATGATAACGGAAAATTATCAGTAAAAAAAAAAAAATTCATTGTTTTGATATTCTTAAGAATTGTCTAATGTAAAAACTACAAAACATGACTAGTACTAAAACGTAAAATGAAAGAAACAAATCCTAAGGCTAATCCTTCTAAATCAGAAAAAGAATCACAAGAAGAAGAAAAAGGAGCAAAAAAATCTTAAGCACAGGCTGGAGCTCTGAAGCCTTTTAGAGTAGCAAAAACAATCGAATCAGGCGCAACGGTGATCGGTGTAGTTGGATCAACAAGCTCTGGATTCAAAGCTGGGATGTTCAATGATTTTGTGAGCTTCAATGGAGTCCCATTGAGCAGCAATACATCACTCTGAATGTTGCCATCTTTTGGAGTCAAATGGTACTCTTCTCTTTGCACTCCATCTTCAGAGTCCAGTGTCTGTTGTAGCTCAGGGTACAAATTCAGATCATCAACAACCGAAACTTGGAAAGTAGTAGAGTTTGACATGTTGATGAGAAGTACAGTAATGCCATGCTGAAACAGAAAATTGATTCAAATTAGTACTTTTAATGAGGAACTAAACTTGGTGTTTTTCTGTTTTTTTTTTTTTTGAGGAAATAATCTCGAACCCGGTATAAGAACTAAGAACTATTTAAGTTATCTTACTGAATTCTTTGAACAATGAGAATAGGCGCGGAGATTAGGGGAGCTGTCATGATTGGTGGAGAGCACATTCTTTCCCATGAGACGATGCCACAGAAGTGCACTGTGAAAGGACCCAAAATTGGAAAAAGTAGAAACCGAAAATCTTGTTGGGTTAAGATTTTCAAATGGTTAGTAATTCATGGATTGATGTGTTAGACCAATGTATGAGAAACTGACCCATAATAATCTGGATTAGGGATGAATGTCGTCGTATTTAGGAGAGCATAGTTTCCCCCAATGAAGGCTTGTCTGCAGTAAACCTTGTGGTTGAAGGTTGATGTCATGCCCAGTTGATCCAAATACCTGTTTCAACTCATAGTTTAATTTGATGTTTAAACAAAGGGCAGTCTAGTGCACGAGGTTCTCACCGGTATTTATTTATATTCTAGGGGAGAGGGAGAGAGAGAGAGGGAAGGAGATTCAGACCAGAAACCATTGACAAAGGTGTGAGAAACATCTTTGCCACCACTGTTGTAAGCTCCACCTGATTCTCCAACCCATGCTCCAGACCATGGTCCAAACTCTTTAACAGTGGTTGAAATATCCTTAAATGTCTGAGCTATTTGGTCAAGGAAAAATGGATCCTGGACCTTGTTGATAAGGTTGGAATCAACACCTACACACATGAAAATTTTCTTAATTCAAGACCCGACATTGCAGACACAATCAAGATCATATCTCCAACACGTTATCATCATATCCATAGAGCTGATCCCAATGCAAAAAAGGGCAACTTAGCATCCATACGCAGTCTTATTCTTGCATTCAGTGAAGTTGAATTGTTTTGAATGTCTAAAACTTAGTCACATACCTGCACCAAGGTTGTAGACATGGTGGGTTAATCCATCAACAACACCTGGTCCTGAAACCTTCAAGAAGGTATTGAACCATTTTTCATCGTAAAAGCCAGCCGGACCCAAGACCTTGGGCTGGTCTTTGGGGTCTGGGTAAACCTCTTTCACAAGGTTTTTGAGTGCTACAATATCTTTGCCATATTGTTCAGCCTCAAGCCTAGCAGACACCCCACTTCCACTTAGCTCATTACCTAACGGACAATAAGTCGAACAATTATGAGCAAAACTGTACACACATATTATACATGTTCTAATTTTCTAATCAAATATTTCATGAATTGGGATTATAATTCTACAAACCGAGTTCATAAGAATCGATCTTGTATCCCTTTGAGACTGTGTATTCCATGAGATCGCGGGCATTCTGTAAATCCCAGTCTCCTTCCCAAAGAGAATTATCATCTTCGGACTTTTTCCTCCCATATAGAGCATTAAACCCGAACGTATGCAAGACTCTGAACAGAAGAACAAGTGAAATACTGTCAGAATGTTGGACATTTGATCATGTTCTATGAAAGTCTGTGTGTGTATGTGTGTGTGTGTTTTTTTTTTGGGGGGGGAGGGGGGTGGATTAGGGGGTGTGTTTGAAGAATGTACCCGGTTTCCTTGAATAATTTGTTGATTTTATCCCATCTCTTCATGTGGAGGCAACCTTTGCTAAATCCAAACAAACCATCCTTTTTCTTCTTAAAATGAGGGCATTTATTGGCCGATGCTCTAACATTGTACACCACTTGATCTTGCAACGAACCTCCAATTCTAAGTCGAAGAGGATTGAACGCTGCGATTTTTTTTCCACAAAATTTAAAGCTTTTTAGAAGGAATGAACTGCAGAAAATAGCGAGTTTGAATAAACTTGCTTCTACCACGGCCTAATTAACCTTGTCCTTAAACATAAGTGAGATGGACTGCATTACAATTCTAAGCCATTAGCAAATAATCGAAAACAAATGTAACACCAAGGTCGTGATATCGGCCATCGCTTGAAAGGCCCAGATACACAATGGTGGAATGGTCACGGACGATAAGACCTAAAAGAATAAGTTGAACATGCTCAGAAATTTAGTTTATGTCGCGGTGTTGTAGGATAATACCTGTCAATTCAGTGACGACGATTTAAAATTGACTCAAAGATATCTCTATCTAACTTGTACAAGACTCTGAGATTTAGATTTAAAAGATTCTTATGCTTATCTGTATCAGCCGATACTGATATCACCGAATTTAGTCCCATTAGTGGGGTGTAAGAGTAAGAGAGATAAATTGGGTACGATCTAATCTTTGGCTTCTTCATACGAGACCTTTTTTTTAAGGTTTGTTTTCAGAAGAATAAGATTAGCCACACATGTATGCAGCACATTATATTCTGTTTATGTAAGTAGTGCTTGTGATCAATAGTTACTCAAGTCCTCAAGACACTGCATTCAGAAAAGTATTCCTTTCTCATAAACTAATTTATTACAAATAAAATAAGATTCAAATATAATAAAATATAAACTCGAATACGACAATATAATAAAATCTAAAAAAATAAGATACGAATATCACCGAGATATGTCTATAATAATTTATATGTTTACTATTGCCTTTAACAATTATATGTTTTGGTAATTCTTTAATGTACAAAAACATATAAAAATAGCAATTTCTTTTACTTTCAAAAAAGTATTGTCTCGTTATCATTTATTCACAAAGTGAAGATGACTAATTAAAGAAATTAATACTAATATTTATTTGGTTGTGGTTGATTTGCTTAAAAGTATTTGTTGTTTGCATTATCGAATAATAAATTCATTTTATACTCTCCACATATATAATAATAAATAATAGTTAAAAAACATTCATCTTAAAGTCGAATGAATTCTTGTTAATGACTTGATGTATTGCATTTTTTTTGAATTTAGAAAAGAGATGATAAAGATTAAATTTTACAAAAGTATCTAAATGGTATATCTGATACGCCGACCTTAACAAAGTATTTATGTTTCTGTTACAAAAAACACAAGTCTACCTGTATTATATTCATGTCATGAACATGGTTTAGAACTTATACGAGCTCAACAGATCATGGGTCATAATTTTACGGATTAATAGTATTTTTTTATCTTTAAAGTATATATTTTTTATCAATTTAGTCTTCAATATATCAATTTGTGTCATTTTGATAATCACATAAACGGATTATTAAGTTTTTGACAGAATGATCACGCGTTGGGCATGTAATAATCTAAAAAAATGACACGTGGTCACTTCTATAAAAAAACTTAACCACTCGTCTTTGTGATGGACTAAAATGACACGAATTGATATTTTAGAAATCAAATTAAAAAAATTAATACATTGAGGACTAAATTGACAAAAAATATATACTTTAAAAATCAAAAGTACTATTAATCCTAATTTTATCATTTCATAAACTTATCAACCAATATAACATTCTCAAACACGACTCACTAATTATATCAAAATTTTTAACCCAAATTCACTAACTTTGTGTCAATTTTTAGAGTTCTCCTGAATAAAAAATTAATGAAATTCATCAATACCATATAAACTTATTCTAACTTACCCTTGATAGCGTTTGCAAGAATCTTGTTATCCAAATCCTGCGAGTTTTACAAAAACCCATAAGAGACAAATTTTCCTTCTCTATTGTAGCAGTAAAAACATCAACTTGGAGAGAGAGAGAGTTACCAGATTGAGAAGGCCTGCTTTACCCCATGGGCACTGATTGTAATCACACTTGTTAGAAGGCCACCAATCCAGTGTAGCACAGATGAAGTTATCATCTGTTTTGGCTATGGAAGTCACCCCTTTCACTTTCAACTTTACTTCTTCTGCCATTGACAAACAAAGACATGGTAGAAGAAGAACACTAAGCAATAAACCTCTTGAAGCCATCTCCCTCAGATTTTTTTCAGAACTGATTGATGGTTGAAGAACTAGTCTTTGCAGGGATTAAGAGATTATTATAATAAGGATTAAGAGTTTGAAACCCATTAAAATTTTGAAAAGTGATAAGTTAAGATAAGATAAAGATGAAAATAAGGAATTAGAATACAACTTCTAACAGAATCAGTTAATGGAATAAGGGTTACTTAACCAAAAAGCCTGACCCTTTAGGTTAGGCCACCCCAAAGCACCAGATCTCATAAATTTTTTAGGGAGTATAAGCAGGAAAGGAACCTATCATTGAATGGATGTCCATGGGTCAGGTTCAAGTTAGACCAGATTATAAAGGTTCGGCTGAATTCTAAGCTCAGGCCGGCCCGGCCCTGAAAATACAAGATTTTGCACCTCCAAGGCCGGCCCGGGGTGTCCTTATGATCCTATGACTGTCCGATGAATAAGAGATAAACTCGGACTTTGGGAGGACCATTCTCGTTGGAATTGGAGTAGGAATATAACAAACCATTAGAATGCCGGACCAAGCTCAACTCTTTAACCATTTTGTCCATTGTCCAGGGCCGGTCAGTCCGATTTCGACCAGTTTTTGTACCAAGAGGGCCAGCCTGGGGTGTCCTTGTGATGCTATGATTGTCCGAAGGATAAGAGATAAACTCGGACTTTGGAAGGACCATTCTTGTAGGAGTTAGAGTAGTATTTTTGGATAGACCTTCCCCTTTCAACCCAAGTCTTTCCAAGCATGTGCATTGGCTTGGATTTGTGGATTATTCCGTCCAAGCCTTTGTTTGGTTTCTTAGATTACAATTTTCTGGGGGTCAATAAATTATATTAACTTATTAATTACAAAACACTCATCTTTTTGAATATTTTATCATTTTCTATAGGTCCGTTTGTTCGTCAAGATAATGTTAAAAAATTCAAGGAAAAATTTTACGTATGTTTATTTAGTATGAAATAGAAAATGGTAGAAAAAATAATTTTCTACCATGCTTAAATTTTTTCACATTTAATTAACTCTTTTTTTTTTGCAAAAAATATAAGGAAAAATAAGAAAGTTGTGTGCAATAATCTAATTTCTCATTTTACTCTTATTTTTTAAAAAATATTCTTTGTCCCTAAATTAGGTTAGGAACCAATTTTTTTAAAATTTGAATAATAAAAAATATTTTTTTTCTTTAGACTAAGTTAAAATAATTAAGAATAATTTAGATAATTAAAAAAAAATTCTTGTAATTTTCCTTTCTTTCAAGCAATGGAATGAAATTATTTTAAAATTTTCTTAGAAACTTTTCATACTAACTAAATATATGCATAAAAATATATTTTTTTCATTTCAATTTCTTTCTCTTTCGCTTCCTTTATCTCTTTTTTTTGCTAATACCCAATGAAATTTTGTTGGTTGCCCTCCTTAACCCACCTCATGGGTGGTTATAAAAAGCCCATGTAAATAGGGTAAGTGGTTCTAGTCAACTCGGGTCAGGATAGAATCATAGAACCTTGGTGGAATTTTCGGTCGCAGTTTCGGCTACCCAAACATGCGATATCTAGGCCCAGAGGCTTTTCCTCCGATCCAACCAATGGTTAGACTCTACTATCCAACCATATCCATAAAGTACTTGTATTTTGAATTAAATTCTATATCTATATTTATATTTATATCTATACTAATTATGAATGCCAGTATGTGTAAAAAAAAAATTTAATTTCTTATTTTATCCCTAATTATTATGATAAAATTATTTATACAATATCTAAATTTTGTTTTTTATACTTATTTGACTTTCAATTTATTTTAAACTCTTTTGAAATAATTTTAATTTTTTTTAAACTCATTTATTAATAGTACAGTTACATACAACTATCTATATCTATATGAAAAAGTAAAGTCTCATATATGTTAAACATTATACACATGTTATCACTAATTATTATGATAAAGTCAATTATACACATCTATATACTTTCATTTAATTTTTACTTTTTGCATCTACTTAATTTTTAATTTGTTTTTGACTCTTTTATTGCGACTTTTAAATTCTTTTGAGCTCAAATATTAGTGGTACAGTTACATACAATTGTCTATATTTATATGACGAAGTAAAGTCTTATATATGTTAAATTCATATATATATATATATATGAAGTAAAGTCCTATATATGTTAAGTTATTATATACATGTAGTTATAAGGTTTAATTCTTCGGTTAAACATATATTTTATTTTATTTTTTGATATGTAATAATATAATAATATTATAAGTGATTTAATCAACCTATTTAATAAAATTAAAATTAATAATTTTATAATATAATTAGATGTACAAATGCTTAATTGAGTTGAAGAGATATCTAAATAAATGATAGATTAGTTACTAAAAAAATTATAAAATAAATCAATAATTAAATTTAGTAATAATTAAAATACGAATTAATTATTCAACACCTAATTTATTATTTAATTTAATTATACATATAATTCATTTTTTTAATAAAAATAATATTATTAACAAAGACAGTGTAACAATACACTGTAATAAAAACAGTGTTAAGTGGTGATGAATGAACGAAAGTGTATTTTAAATACCCTATTATTGGATTAAAATTTTAAAATGTGAATACAAATAATTAGATATAATTTATATTATTGAATTTAATATTAATTCACACTGAGATATATTTGAGCATAATTTTATAATATTTTAAATCTTAATTATTGCATTATTGATTGGTGAGAGATAATTTATAATTAAACATTCCACTTAACATTTTTTTGGACTTTATTATTTAATTTTTATATTTATTTTTATTTTGATGACAACTGATGAAGTGAAAAAGTTTAAACTGATGCTGCTATCACATTGGCCCATCACTCAGTAGATTTAGGCTTTAACTTTCCCAAATACATGCAGTTTGGGCTTCAGGGGCTGAAATAGAAAGGCTAAAATATAGAGGAGCTGAAATAAAAAGGAGATGAAATTTTTTTTTTTCAAAAAATAGATTGACTTTTAAAACCTATACTTTTTCTTTGAGGCGTCTGTTACTCTGATAGAGGGTGGCGGCTGTTTCTTTTCTTGGCTTGGGGGCTAACGCAGATCAGAAAAATGTCGATGGCAGCCGGTTTGTTTAATTTTTTTTAGGAGATTTTTGTTGTACATTTTATTTATGAATAACTAAATTTTCAAATAAGACTGGGGATGAACTTGCACAGTAGATGATATTTTATTTATTTTTAATTTATGTATTTAATTTTTAATTATTAAAATTCTTTTGTTTTATCATTTTTAATTCATTGTTGATGTTTTTTTTTCTGAATAATTATAAAATTTATTTTGTTTATGAATTTAGTGAAGCTTTTTCTATTGAATGAATTAGCTTTTTGATTATGTTTGGATCAGATATTTATCTATATTAATTTAATTCTTTATTGTAATATTATTTTTTGAGTATATTGTCGTCATTGAATTTTTTCAATAATGATAATAATTTACGTATTTTTAAAATGGCGAATGATTTTTCAAAGGGTTATATTTGATTTAATCTTGATTTATAAATCTATACCTTCCAGTTGTGAATTTTGGGAATTGAATTCCCGATTGAGTTATTCAATGAATTAAAAATAATTAAAATATCAGATTTGTGCAAGAGAATCCCGACACTTTATTGTTTGTCAATTTTGAGTATTTTTTCTGTTAGTCACTTTGTTCCACTTTAAGTTACATTTAAAATTAATCTTTATTCTCTAGTAATCATTTAATATTTTTTTTTAGTTCATTTGTTTCCTCTACTATTCTTTTAGTTTGTCTCTTTGTGGAATCGACACCTCAAATCTGTGCCACAACTATCGCGTTATTCTTTGGACATAATCAAGCGGTTTTGTGCATGTGATAACAAATTCAAAACAGAGATGAACTGTTTTTAATGAAATTATATAAAAACATATGTTTGACAAAATATAATAGTATAATATTTTTGTGTAAATGTCTTGTTACACTATTATTATTACACTGTTATAGAGTTCGGATATTAATATAATTTGGAAACAAAACCATTTTCTAAAAAAAATACCTATCAATCAAGGGAGGACATAAAAGTACAAAATATTAAAGTTTTCCTATAAAATTAGGAGATGTTTAATGCACCACTTTTTAAAAAAAATACGCATGGATCAAAAGAGGAGATAAAATCAGAAGAAAATATAAAAATTTCAAATAATGTACTTGAAAATTGATAAGTATCAAAATTAAGGACTTTTTTTACACTATATTTTTTTTTAATGTACTTTTTTTACAATTAACTCTAATTTGATGTACTCCTTCCAATTTTCCCTTAAAAAAATTAAGAATAATATGTGAATTAGAAAGAAAAAAAACTTGTTGCATACATTATACAGTCCTTCAGATCAAGTTGGTCTGTGGGCCAATAATCCTGGCCCAGGCTCTGTCCACGGGACAAAAAACTTGGCCGAGCCTTTAACTTTTTGGTTTGGACTTTTTGGGCCGATCTGCCTGTCAGGCGCATGGCTACCACTATTGAGAAGGTGTAGTTGCATTGTCAGTAGACTCAATACCTTTTTTTTTTTTTTGATCAAACCATAGAAGTATGCATTTCATTAAGTTAGGGAAATTTTGGTTACAATCATTCAAAATAAAAGCCTTAAGTTCTTGCGGGGGATAACCAACCCAGTCCAATGGGAGCAAGCTGTGCATTGCAGCGGTTGCCACCCAGTGAGCTGTTTTGTTACAGGCTCTTGACTTGTGTAAAAAATAAATGTTGTGTAATCTAGTAAAGTGTCTAATATCCCCCATAAGAGTATTAATTTTCCACAGGAAAACATCTTCAGAAGTGCTCAGCTTGATAACATTGAGGAAATCACAAATGACAGTGGCATTCTCCAGATTTCGAGCATTAATCAAAAGCCATGCTCGTCTTACAGCCTCTATCTCTGATGCTAGACTTGAGGATGCAGTAAAGCATTTTGCAATTCCATCAAACCAGGCCTTCCTCTGAACAATATAGTAAAGTTCCACATGATGCCTTGTTGGTGTCTGGTTATAAGCCCCATCACAGTAGAGGAAAAAGTCAGGAAGCGACTGCTGCATTCTCTCCTCCTCCTCCTCCTCCTCCTCCTCCTCCTCCACAGGTTCAGGTTCATTCTTTGACGTCCTCTGTCACTCGTAGTGGAGAGCTCATTACTTCACCAATCAAAATTCACGCATACAAATTTGGGCCAAAATTTTGGGTCAAATCACCGTTGAGTTGTGCAGTTTAATAGGCCTGACAATTTTAAATCTGGCTCGTGAAATGGATACGAACATGATATGGATTAAGCGGGTTTGGATGTAATATTAACAGGTTCGGGTAATTAACAAGTTAATTCATCAACCCTGTAAAATAAACGAATTGGTTTCATGTTTAATCCATAAACGTGTTTCAACCCGTTAACAATGACATTATAAATTTTAAAAAAAAAAATTCTCTCATCCTCTGCCTCACCTTAGAAATAGTGATTTCTTTCACATTTGTTGTTGTGCACAAAGTTTTTTGCTAAGTTATGATTTATTTTTATGATAAACAGATTAAATATAAGTAATGTTTAGCGAGTTGATGATTTTTTATGTGGACTCGAAATATTCTAACCGATTCTCTTATTTAACGAGTAACACAAGTTATGTCAG